TATCCTGACATCTCAGCCTCTTGAATAGCTAGGATTATAGGCATGAGTGACCAGTGCCCAGACAGGAAAATTCATAGAATTAGTGTAGCAACACTGATCAAATAAAATACTAGAAATCATTCAAATATTCTTTAGCTTGGAATGAGCAGTAAAATTGTAGTCTATTCAGTTGATGGAAAATAGCAGAGAAAATCAAAGTAAGAAGTGCTTAATGTATGCAAATGTTACAATAAGTCTTCTTCACAAATGTATATACCTTTCCCCCTTCTAAGGAAAAACAAAAAACAATAGAGGCGCAAACAGGTTAAGGAATTTACCCAATGTTATCATATACCAAAGTAGCAATATAAACTCAAATTCAGAGTCTGTTCCTACTTTACTTCAAGAGACAAGGCATGTGATTGAATCTAAATAAACAAATGAATATAAAACAACAAATTCAATTATACGAAATGGAAACATATTTTATATATATCATATTTGCATAGCTCAAAAATATCAACACTAATTGAATAGTGTGCCCATGAAGAACCTTTTGTGTATGACAAAATAATTTTGAATGCTAAAAATAAAAAGATAATTATAAACTCCAGTAAAGCAATTGCTCTAGAATGTGGGTGCAAGTGGAATAAAGTAGAAGATAATGTAGTTATCTAGGTAATGGGATTGGTGAGTTCTTATTCTTGAGCTGGTTGGGTTACAACTGAAAATATTACTATACAATCCTAAAATATTTGGGTTATTTATGTCCTTTTATCCATCAAGTTTTAGTAGATATGGAAAGATATTAAAAGTAAGAATTAAATGGAATGGATAAAATGATGAAAATGAGCATTAGTTACGTATTCAAGATACTTGATTTGAAGAAAAGTGGAATATGGTATAACTAGAAAGATCAGTGTCTGAGGTCTGAGATGGTGTGTGTGTATGTGTGTGCGTGTGTGTGTGTGTGTGTGTGTGTGTGTGTTTAAGGAGAGAATCTAGATCCTGATTATATATAAGAGGGTAGTTTGAATTAGAGTGTTATGTCCTAGAAAGTCTCTGGAGAGCTTGCTTGTTCATGTTGCTTTCCTGCTGTTCTACCATTTGTGCATTACCTCTAGCATAGCTTTGGAAGATAGAGTATCACAAACTTTTCTATCCTGGCTGGCCTTGAACTGTACCCTCTGGCTCTCAGCCTTCTGAATAAACTAAAGTTTACAGGAGCTATCAACAACACCCAGTGAGACATTGTGTTAATTATCATGACTATTGTCCTGCTACTAGAATCTATTGTGTAAAAACTAGAATCTATTGTGTAAAGACTAGAAACTAAATTCAAAGTCCTAAACCATGTAGGACATCATTCTTTTCAAATAAGAATAATTCAAAATGCCAATTGATGTTATAGAAAGTTTGACAAACCCAATGACAGACAAAACAAAGCAGGGTAGAGGACTAATATTTACATATATATTACTAATATATATTATATATTAATATATTAGCAAACAATTAATTAAGAGAGCAATTCAGGAGAAGACCTTGGCTGCAAAGTAGCTGCATTACATCATCAGAGCCTTGAGACCACCAAGGAGTCAAATTTGTCTTCAGCCTACTGCTTTAAATAGAAGGCCTGTGAGGCTGACCTCATTCCAGCTTTGCTGTAACTGGAAACAAACACAAAGGGCCTATTGAGAATTTTATTGCTGATCACTTTGGAAAAACAGACAAAACATGCAGCAAGTACAAAATAAAAAATGTAGGTGGGATGAAGTTACCTCCAACGTAAGGAAGTGTAAAAGCTATGCTTTTTCTCTGGGACCTGCCATTACTGTAGACCAGAGAGGGTTCTTCACAAGGCTGACAATTGTAAGGTTGAATCAACTATGTTACTTGAAAAGGCAATCCAAATTGTATGAGCTTTAAGACCCAGAGGAAAATGAAATTTATCCCTGAGTGCATGAGAAATGTTGAATTTAGTCATTTCTGTAGTTGCTTTTGTTGATATATTTGCTTACATGCATCCTGAAGCTCAATAGCCACATGCTGCTCTTGTTTAGTTTCCTAGAAGTAGTGTATAAAAATTGATGGCTTTCTGGGTCTTCTACTCTTAGTTTTCACAGGTCATTTCCTCAATAAAAACTTGTCTTCTGGCATGAAAGGCCTGGGGGTACAATTAGGTCAAACAAAGGAGAATAATTCAGAGATTCAATTTCCCCTACTCTGAGGGGAATCACATTAGAGAGGAAAACTGCTATCTGTTGTTCTCATGGTGTCCATGGGAAGGAACAACTCAAGAAATTACTAAGAGATTCACCAAAGAAGCTGTTGATAAATAAGGATTCCAGAGACTTTTCTCATGAGAGTCACATTAGATAATCTTTGATCTGAAAATGACATCTTAGGAGCCATTTCCTTCACACCGTTTCTTAATCATGAGTGATGCCAAATTCCCTTGGAGGATCTTTTAATAATCACATAATAAAATCTACTTAAAAGATCTACTTAATAATCCCTAGTTTAGATACCAGAGATTCCAAATCCAAGTATGAAAATGACATCACTCTGAGAGAGAGAGCATAAGAGAGAGAGAGAGAGAGAGAGAGTCAGAGACAAAAACAAAGACAGAGACAGAGACAAAGAAACAGACAGATTACCAAGGAAGAAAGAAAACTGGGGAACAAAAAGGGGAAGCCAGGGAAGGAGAAAGGAAGAAAGGAAGGAAGGGAGGGAAGGTTGAAGTGTGAAAGAGAACATCAAATGCATCAGAGAAGAATCCACTGAATTTAATCAGGTCACTGTAAGTGTACATACTTGCATGTGATGTAAATGAGAGTAGAAACAGAAAGAAAAATCTAAAGAGAATATAGTGAAAATAAAGCTAAAATTTATAGAAAATATTGAGTTAGGATGTAATATAGTATTTGAGTCTACTCCATTGTGCAACAAATAGTATGATTGCAAAGAATATTTAAAGGGCACAATGCGAAATGGAAAAATAAAACTGGAATGTATAGCCAAAAAAATTTTACTCAACATTAAAGAAACTCTAAAACACATGGACAGGTGTTCATGGCCTTTACACATGGGGCAAAGCAGAAATCTAAATGCCAGCAATGTGAGGGGAGCTAATTTTTGAAAAGTAATGTCAGATATTCAAGGTGCATTGTAATTCCTAAACTGCTTTGTTAAATGGCAACTGCTTTTGTACATCTGTTTAAAGAAAAGAAGAGCGAGGAGGAGGAGGAGGAAGAAGAGGAGGAGAAGGGGGAGAAATCTATAGATTGAGAAAGGAAGAAGAGTAAAGAATAAAGCGCAGGAAACATATATATGTATATGAATATATAAGAGAAAGAGAGGAAAGAGAGAGAGAGAGAGACAGAAAGAGAGAGAGAAAGCACAATAAAGTCAGATCATACTGTGGGGGGATATTTAACTTATGAGTCCTAGAAGAAGTCAAATGGCTATTTAGAAGGAAAAAGATATGTCAGACAAATAATAACATTTTCCAGAGATGAGCCCATGGAGTTCCATGTAGACAAGCCCAAAATCAATAAAATTAACATGTAAGAGACAGTAAATTCCAGATATTAAAGGGAAAATCTAAAAGCTTGGGCTCAGCATACATGGGCAGGAGAGTGGTTACCTTACACAACTTTGGAAACAGAATTGTTCAATTCTTAGAAGCTACATTGTTGCTCAAAATCAGTGGAGCAAATTCTTCAAAACATATGAAACAAATGAATTTCCACCTGGAATTTTATATTTCCCTTCTTATTGTGTGATAAACTTCCTCTAACATTAAATGGCTCAGCAGTCACAACTGTTTTCCTAATTACAATAATATAAATAGTTAATTATTGTTTAACTAAAATTTGTATATCAACAAACTTGGAAGTCAAAAGGCAGGGACTAAAGAGCTGCTGGGGAAGAGTGGTGCATAAACATTTGAACTGAGCTACTACAAGAGAAGGAAGATAAAATTTTCATCTTCCCTCAAGTTCACAGGTCCTACCAAAAATCTGCAACCCAAAATTTCAAATAAAGATCAGTGCACCAATATTTGTATAAAGCATGCGGTAGGGGATGGGCGGAGGAAACAGTTGTACAATTGTACTCTGGGCCTTGTTCCTGCTAAACACAGACTCTAGCAGTGAGTTATACTCTTAAGCTCCTAGAGTAAAATATTGTGTATAAATAAAAAAGAACAAGAACCAGAAGAAACATTGAAGAATTTAAAATTATTTCCTCTTGGGATTAGGAATTGCCAAGGACCATAGAATTCTGTTTTTTGTCATATTTTTAAAAGACTTAAAACTTGGATTTGGTCCACTTTGATGAATACAAAAACAAATTATAAAGAACGTGGATACCATACATATATTTGTCCTAAAAATACTATGATTCAAGTAATATTATATGTTTCATATAAAATAGATACAGGTCTAAAGAATTTAACCCAGATCAGTCTGTATATAAGCATAGAGTATTAAGAACTGCTGATGTTTTTGCAACCTTGACCATTTTCAAAATATATTCTTCCTTATCTTAATACCATGCTTTAATCTGTCAAGTTCAAGGAGCATCCTTCTGAATTAGTGTTATGCTAGTAGAACTACACGAGGCCGTGTTACCAATGTCATATACCCACATTTCCTCAAGCCTGGGCGTTGGAGCAATAAAACCCAGAGAAAGTTCTAGTGATTCACAATGCTCCATCCCATGTCTCAGGATAGTGGGTGTGACAACAAAGTAAATAATGCAAGAAGAATGTCAGATCACCAGCAGGAGCCTTTGGGGATCTGTATATCAGTTTATGTTCTAGAAAAGTACATTCATAATGTTTCATGAAATTTAAAAAATGATTTCATTTTAAAAGAATACTTTATTTCAATAAGGTAATCACTCAAAAAAAATTAAAGTGGTCAACAAAGTGAAAGGAAGTAAGCTGAGGATAATTCTTGTAATTCTTCTCCCCTTTGCTTTCCCTCTGGAATAGCAATTTGGTGTTTGGATACCTCTCTATAGCCGTCACTGATTCGCTCCAAGCTCAGGGAATACACAAGGTCCCTGCCTCCCACAAAAAGCCGTTCTTGATATTCATCCAGCAGCATTGCATGGAGATCCAGAAATCCAAAAGGGCTGTGAAATATTGATGTTCTGTTCAGATCCAAGAGTTCTGAAATGCAAAGACATATGTACACTAAGCAAAGAGAAAGTGCACATACTTTTGTAACACATTTTTCTTATCTCTACGTAGTTAACATTCATTTATCATAAATATAAAGTCTTTGAGTTTTATTTTTCAAAAAAGATTCTTGTATATTGTACAATAATATAATAAAGTATATTGTCACTTCTCAGTATCTACAAGGAATAATTTCCAGGTTCCTCCACTAAAAATAAAAAATTCCAAGGTTGTCCAAGTCCTTTTTACAAATGATATATAGCTGTGGCATTTAACCCATGCACATTCTTCTCTACCTTTAGTGATCTCTAGGTTATTTTTATTACCAAACACAATGTAAATGCTATGTAATAGTCACTGTACTGTATAAATTGGAGAATACTGACAGGAACAGTATTTTCATGTTCAATATAGACACATCATTTTAATCCACAGTGATTGAATCTGTGGATATGAAACCCATAGATATAAGTGATTGCCTGCTTGTACAGTATAAATCGCAATGCATTTTAATGTGTGAAAATTTAAATATTTTATAAATGTGTGAACCTAAAAACAAGTCCAAGTCCAAGTTAATATGTAACTATTCTGTTTTTGTATACATAATGCTATGTGAAAAAGTCATTTTATACCTTCTACATATATAACAAAATGTCAAATCTAACCATTAGTGGTTCATGTCTATAATCTTAGTTACTTAGGAAGCTGAGAAACAGAGAATCATGGCTCAAATCTAGCCAAGGCAGATAATCCATGACTCCATCCCCAAAGTAAACTTCAGAACGCTGGGCTAAAGATAAGGTTCCAGTGGATAGAGCACCAGCTGAGCAAGTAAGCCTAGCCAATACAAGATTGTAAGCTCAAACCTTCATCTTACAAACCCTCATCTTACTCCAGTTCAAACCTACACATAGCACATCCAAAGTGTATTCTTTTTAACCCTAAATTGAAAACAACTTGGAAAAATGATGTTACAACTTGAAATTGGTATTGAAAGTCACATCCCATATCAAACTGCACAACTCTGGGAACTATGAAGATTGTGTATACAGTTGAGTTTTCACCTAACTTTCATAATAGTGAGAAATTGTCAGACTAGTGAGGATATAGTTCCTACCATTCTTGATTTGAGCTAGTATACGAACTGCAAATACTTAATTTTTAAAAATCAGAATTTGGCAAACCTCTCTTGTATGTAATCTTTTTGTTCAAGGCATGAATTATTTAAACTCAGTAAAAAGATATGTCAGAGTTGGTGTTAATGAGAAAAAAATATTGCCCCAAGGCTACACGCTGAAAAAGACCTCTTTGGGAAAGGTAACTTTCTTTACCAAAGGTCAATGCCTAATGCATCTGAAAGAAAATGTGTATTCTTACTGACTAGAACACTAAAACATAAGACATAAGAACCAAGATCGGTAGGTGTAGAGAATTTTGCTTGTCCTTTTAAAATTTATGTTTCTAACAAATGTAAACTTGAACTTACTTGCCATCTCAGAGCTCAATAGGGTGAGGGAGGAAGATTGTGAAATCAGGGCCAGCCTCAGCTGGCTGCAGAGAAAGTGATGGGGGAAAAAGTGCTTTGGAATTTGCAAAACTGTAAGTACAAAAGAAAAATTATAAATGGGTGGGGTGGGGAGAGATGGGTGAAAACAATGGAAATGATGACATTTATTAGCATGTATTTTATTCACAAACTGACGTGTTGAACTAAGACCATTTTGAACAAATACTTAAGATAATAAAAATATTAAAAATATTATTTTACTTATTTTATTTTAAACATTATTACTTAAATTTTTAAATATTATATGACATTAATAGTCTTAATATTGTTGAGATTTAATATAACATATTAACAATCTCAACACAACAAAGCAGTTTAAGTAATCATTTTCTTTTTATTTCACTGGTGGAGAAAGTCCGATATTCAGAAATTTAATGATGATCCTTTCAGCATATTCTACCATAATAATACTCACTCCAATTTCTCATTAAATTGAAGTATAAGAGTTGTCTATATTGTAGCCAAAATCTTACAGTTAGAAGTTGGACTGCCAAGTACCTATCTAACTTTGAAGACTCTTAGCCTCTTTAACTTGGAATTCTCTTATCTTCCACCTTTAAAATATTTAACTCTTGGGGCTGGGAAAGTGGCTCAGTGGTAGAGCACTTGCCTTTGCATGCTCGAGGCCCTGGGTTCGATTCCTCAGCACCACATAAGAAAAAAGCCGGAAGTGGCGCTGTGGCTCAAGTGGTAGAGCGCTAGCCTTGGGCTGAAGAGCTGAGGGACAGCGCACAGGCCCAGAGTTCAGGCCCCACGACTGGACCCCCCCAAAAAAAATAAATAAAATAAAATATTTAACTCTTTAAGTGTATTTTTTAAGATGAAGGCTCTAAACAGCATTAAAATAAACATTTCCATTATGAAAAATTACGAAGTGTTAAGTAGAGTGTAAGCCTGTAAGTTTTGGAAGCTTTGTTATAAAAAAAAAACAAAAACACCCAATAAGAAAAAAAAATCTCTCATCTTGATCTAAAGCAAAATATTTAAACTATTATTTACAGCTTTTCAGATATTGAAATGATTATAGAAGCAGACAATCTGTTGTTCTAAAGAATCTTGGAGATTATTTAGCCTGACTTGTTATTATTGCCTAAGAAGAAATTGCTGCCAAAATATGCTAGATGCATAAAAATAAATATCATCACATGCCTTAGGCAAATGAGTAAATAAATTTCACTTCATTTATGAAGGTATTTCCTAGAATAATTACTATAGTCATTTTAGAGTTAAAAAATGGTAATTGGAGTAAATTTTTCTTTATACATTTTTACGATATGAGAGGAGAATACATTGAATACTTTAGCTGCTCTGGACCTTGACCCTCACCATAAAAGGAACCAGTGGCAACAGTTGAATTCCTCAGGAGTTCAGGCTTGTCAATTTATAGGGTATTTTAGAATCAGAACACTAAGCAAAGCATTTCAGTTCAATGGCAGTTATAACCACTGATCTCAAGCTTTAATTTTCTTTAACATTTAAACTGTTCTTCTTAGCAGGCTATAATTCTCTGTCATCTTTGACTTTGTCAGGAAAAGTTGATAATAGTCATTTTAGATATTTGTGCCTTAAACATATACCTGGGAAAATAGACAGAGAATTCCCTAATATAGACTTAGGAAAAAAAGTATTGTATTTGTTATATATCTTGTTATTTATCAATAGTAACTTCATTGTATGCTGAAAAACATTATGGTGGATATCAATTATCACAATAATAATAATAATAAAGTTTCATGATCGATGTGCCTTTTATAATTGCAATACTTAAGAAAAAGTCAACTGAATCCCTATCCAAATGCAGTCTACATCAAATGACTTTATGATCATGGTGGTCATGCCAATACATTAACAATTGAGAGAACAGAGATTCAATTAGGGTAACACAAATGCGAGGACAGAAAGCCAGGCCTCATGGCAACTTGAAAAGGAGCAAAAGAGATTCTCTTAGACTTTTCTTTGCTACTTGTTAGTCTTTGGCCAGAGCTTTGCTGATTTAAAGAGTTTACTTATTAGTCTGCTCATGATCAAATATTTCTTTTGGTCCCTAAATACATGAAAGCTTCCGGCTCTCACACAACATTGTAGGACAATAGTTCCTGCACGTCTCCATTCTCAAAGAAGAATATATTGGCTCAGCAGTGTTTGTACTTCATAGACTAGAAAATGGCTACTTTGTGATCAATCACTTATCTGGGAGTCATGTAGAGAAGTGTGATCTGTATGATTGTATGTAGTCACCGCAGAGTATGTTCCCAGTTCATAGGCAAATCTATCCATTCTGTTTATAATCATGAGTAAATTAATAGAAATAAATTATTCTAATCTATATTGCTATAGAATGGATAGGCTTGTAGTTTGTAGATATTCAATATAATCCTATTATGTCTGCCAAAAAGTTGGGAGTTTCATTAATTAATTTTAGCTAACTAAATTAAAGTGACTCACAAAGGAGATAAAATGATCAAACCATTTTCTATCTCTTCTACTTCATCTGTATGTTATTTCAAGGAATTGATGTATGTTTTATTTGAAAAAAAGAGCATTCTATGCAACAAAACCAACAAAATAAACAAGCAATGAGATAAAAAGTAAAATTTGGTAACCAGTAGAATTTAAAGTTTAAAAAAGTAGAAATACAATTTTTATATTAAAAACCAAAACTAAGGCTGGTAAGTTGGCTCAGTGGTAAAGTGCTTGCCTCACATGAATGAGGCCCTAGGTTCAATTCCTTAGTACCACATAAGCAGAAAAAAGGCAGAAGTGGCCTTGAGGCTCAAGTGGTAGGGTGGTGGCCTTGAGCTGAAAAGCTGAGGGACAGCGCCCAGGCCCAGAGTTCAGCCCCCACAACCAAAAAAAAAAAAAAAACTCTTTATGTGAGGCACATGTAAGGTAACAAACTATGGTTTTTTAATGTGCTGAAAGAGCTATTTTTAAAGAAAGTAGAAAAAGATTCTGCATGTATTCTATAAATAGTATGTCAAAAAGTGGACATCCAGTATAGAATTCATGCGAAAAGAATTCACCTTTATTAACTGTTTCAAAAATTAGAATGCTGTATAACAGTATTTTTAAAAATTATAATAGTTAATGAAAATTAGATCCAGAACACTGATTCTAGATTTTTCCAGGAGTCAGTGTAACTTTTTTTCTCTTTGTTCAAATTTTCTCACCACAATTAAAAAGCTCATTTATTACATAATTTTTTACAATGAGATAGAAAGTTTTTTCTTTTATACAACATTTCCTTATCTCTCTTATATCATTTCTCTAGCCCTGATCTGTACTTGGCAGTTGTATATAACATAGTATTTAAAGGCTGAACGTTTATTATCTCATTTAATCATTGTGACTCTCCCCATTCAGAAATACTACTATATCTATTTTCTACTTGCACAAAGAGAAGATTGTAGGGCTTCAGTGCACA